TTTCACAAGGCCGTTTCTGAAGTACATAATAACAAAATTTAAATTACAAAAACATTTACAAGACAAACAGAAATAAAGAAGTAAAAGAAACCAAAATAAAACTATTACTGTATTATCTTATGCAAGTACTTTTAATTATTTGTTAATAGTTTTTTAAAAGTTTGAACATTTGAGGCCATTCTCATATTGAGGTTTAGGTTATTCCAGACAATGGCTCCCTGATAGGAAAAACCTCTTTTCTTACATTCTGTGCTTGGTTTGGGTACCTTAAGTATGTCCTTAGACCTGGTCATGTATGTTGTATTGCGCTCTTGAAATTTGTTTTTTAAATAAGTTGGCATTTGAGAATTCATTATTTTAAACATGGTTATAGCTTTATATTGATACAGTTTGGTGTTTAAATTATTCCAGTTTAAGTTAGTGAGTGCTTCTGAACTTGAATCATATCTTGCGACCTTTGTAATAATTTTAGCAGCCCTATTTTGTAATATTTGAATTTTATTTTGTAAAGTTTGATTGCATCGTCCCCACACAATATTGCAATAATTAAAATGTGGTGCAATTATTGACTTGTACAGCATTGACTGTATGTTTGGGGGCAAGATATAATTACTTTTCCTAAGGTAGTATAATCCAGGAAGAACTTTGTTTATTACATTATCAATTTGTTTATTCCAAGTTAGATTTTTATCTATGATTACCCCTAGGTGTTTACAGTGATCAACTCTCTTTATGTTTATACCATTGATGTTTATATTTAGATTTGAGTAATTTATTTTTGCTAATTTTTGATGAGTACCTATAATCATATATTCAGTTTTGTTGACAGTATCACTGTGGGAAGTTTCTAGCTTTCTTCCAGAAGTGCACAATTCTACCTGAAATTCAACCTTAGCCACTCTACTAATAGTAAATAGTGGTAGAAATCAAAACATGCTGATTGGTCGACTTGCCTTTACCTTAACCTTAAAAATAACTCCTGCTTTCTTAATGCACTACATCTAGTCGCAAGCGTAGGCACTTTGTATTACATCATTACTACTACACTACTATCATCATCCACTTTGTATATCAACCCCTAGCCTCTTCCCCAAAACTATCTTTAAAAATTGTCTATAATTCACAGGATCAATTCAATGGCTACCAGTGAGCTGAATCAGTTTCTGGAAAATGTTGATGAGAAGGTCCTAGAGTGTACCATATGCTTCAAGAGACTTCAAAATCCTAAATCTCTCAGTTGCCTCCATAGTTTCTGTTTGGCATGTCTGCAAGATTGGGTTAAGGCGAAGGGTAAGCTGATTTGCCCAACCTGCTCAAAATCACATCCCATACCAGAGGGTGGGCTTCAGAAGCTTCCACCAAATACTTTTCTGAATAACTTATTAGAAACTATTCAACAATTTTCAGAAAAAGATGGGATGGAATGTGCTTGCAAAAAAGGAGAAGCAGCATTATATTACTGCCAGGATTGCAGACAGTACTTGTGCTCTACTTGTATTGACCATCATAAAGATTTTCGACTCTTTGAAAATCACAAGCTTCATTCAGTGGAGTATATGCAATCAATGAGCCCCATACAGAAAGCTTCCTTACATCCACCACAGTGTTTGCTTCACAATAAACCCTTTGAATTTTACTGTGTAAATTGTACAATTCCAATCTGTGTTAATTGTACAATTATGAACCACAAGGAATGGGAAGGAAAACACAAACCAATCAGCATTTCAGAAGCATTCAAAACATTTAAAAACACTTTTGCAACTTTGGAGAAAGATGCCTCTGGGTACGAAAAAAAATTACAAGATAGCCTGAAAGCTGTTATTCAGAATTCTATAAAATTAAAACAAAGTAAAGAAACAAGTTTGAGAGATATTGATAATCATGTAAAAGAAATTGTTAAAATAATCAGTGAGAATGGAGATAAACTGAAAAATAAAGTAGAAACAATCTACACAAAGAAAATGAAGGAAAATGATGTACAAATGGATGAATTGAAAACAGCAATATCTGACATAAATACAAAACTGTCTTTTCTTAATCAGTTATTGAAAAGTGATGAAGCAACAGCAATGCAGTCAAGTGAAAGAGTAATTACAGCACTGAAGGACAGAATCAATGAATTACCAAAAACAGTGCCAGATGACAATGGAAAAATTAAGTTTTTCAAAAAGAATATTGCTACATTGCAAGACTATAGCATTGGATATGTAAAAGAAATGAAGGCAGCAAATTGTCTTATTTTATTAAAGGAAGAGGAATTTGTAACCGAAGATCAAACAATTGTTGTCAAAATAATCAAAACAGATGAATGTGAAATACATGCCAATCAACTGAAGGCAACATGGACACAGCCTACAGGAAAAACCATCATTACTCAAATTCATAAAGATAACAATGGAGATTATTTTGTGACAGGAAAATGTACAAATCCAGTTGTTTGTAAACTAGATGTGAGTGCTGATGGTACATCAATCAAGCAATCACCAATGATAATTAAAGTACAAAAAAGATTAGTAAATACCATTCAAATAAACCATATAAATATTAGAGATCTAGTTAAGTCTGAAGATGACTGCTTGCTGGTTTCATGTTTGACAAATGAAATACTCAAGTACAAGCAATCAGGAGAATATATTGGTAAGATTACACTGCCACAATGTGTGAAAGTTAACAGAATGTACAAAATGAAGAATGGTAACATAGTGTTCAGTGATTGCGGTGATAAATGCGTCAAGGTATGCAATATGAATGGAATGGTGATCAAATCAATTGGTCAGCAAGTATTGCAAGAGCCAACAGGTATCCATGTGGATGAGTCATCAAAAGTTGTGTATGTATCAGATATTGATGGTCTCTTTGGTCCAGACAATGTGTTCATATTTGAAATTTATTGTGGCTGTATGATCAGGAAGATAGAACCATTAGCCAACCAAGGAGGTGAATTGTATGGCATTATTGATGTTACCTTTACAAATCAAAGAGACCTTCTTGTATTAGAATATAATAACAGCAGATTGCAACTATTTGATAATGAGGGAAGGTTCATGAAAGTCCTTGTGAAAGCAGGTTATGAAAATGATATGCTCAGGAATCCACGTGGAGTAGTAGTTGATAAGGATGACAACATCATTATATCAAGTAACCAAAAACTACAGTTATTTAGTAGAGATGGAAATTTCATAAAAAGAATTGATAAACCAGAAGACGAAATAAAAACTCCATGGGGATTATGCATCATATCATATCATCCACGGAGAGTTGCCGTAGTAAATAAAGGTAACAAAAGTATTAAAATATTCAATTATTAAAGTAATTGAGAATCTGCTGCCCTCACTTACCTACACAAGTGCAGTTATCAGCTGAGATGTAGTAACCATGGCTACAGCTACATGTGTATCCACCCTCAAGATTCACACAGTTATCCATCTGATTGCAGCAGGCAGCTCCAATTAAACACTCATTGGTATCTGTGGAGAAACGTCAACTAATCAGAAACAACTTTTGAGAAAAATCTGATTAGAATAAACCAATCAAAAACAAGCTTTGAGAATTATTAGTAGAATAAACTTATCTGAAACAAGCTTTGATAAACATATGAGTATAATAAACAAATCAGAAAAAAAAATTAGCTCAGAATCAACTGATTAAAAATAACTTTTTATTCACTGTAAGAACTACTGGCTTAGCATCAATAAAAACCTTGAGAATAAATATGAATTAAAGCTAATCTGAAAAAAGCTTTTGTGAACTTTGTGTATTTTTACAGATAATTGTGAATGTTGTACTTCAAGCTAAAATGAAAAATGAGTGTGTCAAGTACTGGCTTGGGGGTCTGACTGAGAATAGGGGTTTAGAAAACTCTGGCTATGTAACATGAGACTCTGGCAATTAATTTTTGGGCTTGAGCAAAATGATGGTGACATAAAAAATATAGAATCTTAATCATACCTCTACAACCTTTACCATCCCCCTCAAGTTCAAATCCAGTGAAGCATTCACACCTATGGCTGTTTAATGGAAACAATACAATATTAAATAAAGCACTGTCTAGTTTACTAATAAATATATGGTAATTGTGTGAACAAAACTCAATTTAAAAGTAAAGGTAGGAGAATAATTCATAACTAGGAGCTTCATTGTATTGAATTGTGTATGTGCATGATCTGTTGACTACTTAGTAGCCATAAAGAGGGGCTTATAGTTTCCACAACGACAGGGGCTGAAATGAACCATAGCATCTGGGTAAGTACTCTTCCGAAAGTTGCAACGGGTTGTTTATAAGTGCTCATGATCCAGTTGTGCACTCTGCACCCTCATTTTAAGTACTTATCTGAGAAGAACTGGTTCTACCAACTGAACCCTGGGCAAGTATTGGCTTGAACTAGCGAAGATGCTAAAGCTGTATTTAGTGGTGTCCCAACTGTTCAGCCACACAACTCAACCAAAATTATATACAACATGATGGATACGGTTAGGAACAAGAAGAATTTAAATAACAACAAATATATTAGCACATTTTCAAGATGTTGTATTCACATCAACTTTTCTGCCAGTTTAATGTTCAGATGCAGACGCCACTGGATGATTTAATGGGGGGGGGTCCACCTTTGGGAAGTACAAAAACAGGGGGGTAAAAAAAAGAAAGAAAAAGAACAAATTGATCGCCCACAATGTCTCAGAGGTATTTTTCAGGTGGCTAGAAAACAAAAATTTCGTGGGGACAATTCCCCCAGACCTCCTAGGGTGGGGTTATCTCAATCAGCCCCACTTTTGGACATTGCTGGATCCGCCCCTGGACACTGATATTCATGTAGAGTTTATTGTTACTGACTGGGTATGCTCTTTTTTTTCCAACCTTTTTGTTACAAAAATGATTGTTGATTTAATAAACATATATTATGTTTATATTAATATTAATTTTACATATCATCCTAATCACTAATAATAAAGCACAACTATACAAGGTCTAAGCATAATCTATTTATATACCCTCCATTATCATCACTGACATTACTGTATAATAGGTTGATACAATAAAAAGTGCAAATATACAAAATCTAAAGTATGATATATTTACATACCCTCCTTTATCATTAATACACTTATGCTCACAACCGCCATTGTTATCAGCACACTCGTTTATATCCGAACATGATAAGCGATCACTCATGAGAAAGTAGCCACTACGGCAGAAACAAGTGAAGCTACCGGCGGTGTTCAAACACAGCTCATTATGGTCGCAGATGTCTTGCTGGCATTCATCAATATCTGGAAGACAGATAATGTTTGCAACATTACAAGTAGCATATCCAAATCGGAGCACAAGGAACCAAACTGCAAAAATGTGCTGACCACCTCTCACAGCACTTTCCCACCTAAATAATCAGTCCTACGGTAATTACAGTTGGATTGGATTGGATTTATTCGGTGTAAACACCAAGGATAGCCCACGAAAGTCTAGAAGAAGACTTATTTCCAGTGGGTTCCTTCTGGTGGTGATTGGGCAGTACACCGGGAGACAATCCCCTACTCTTTTCAGAAGAGTGCAATGCATTCTTTAACATACACATGGGCCATAAAGCACACAAGACCAACAACTTAAATGTCTCATCTGAAAGACGGTGCGCCATTGTAACTAGTATTTCAGCCCTCTAGCTGAAACACAAGGAGAGGCAGCAATGGGAATCGAACCGGGAACCTAGAGATCTCAACAGTTCAGCGCACACACAGTGGCTACCACCTAAGCACAAATTCGGACAAAGAATTAATCTCTACATGTATGAGCACTTGACACCGTAATGCCATCTTATTATGACCAGTATCAGCGTCTGAAAACATGCACGATGAGCGTGTAAAGCATTTTTAAGGAACACTATTTTCATTGGAAAGACAACATTCTTTTTATAAAGTTTTAGCATCCTAAAAAGTATTGGACCTATAGAACAGATATAAATCAATGTCGAGACATGTTACACCCTGTCTCTTATACACATCTAGATGTGTATAAGAGACAGATATTATGATGAGTTAGTCTGTACTTGTAGGATGCCTGCCTTGGTATTCAAAAGTTTTAAATTCGATCTTCTGGAACTCAACTTTACAAGCCTCGTAAAGATAACCCCCTCATGTGTGATGTATGGAGAAATATTAGAGCAATGTTGAATATGGCTTGATAATGAATGTATAGTAACGTAGTAACGACAATAAAACAACAATAATAAAAGGGGCTTACCTTCCTACTGTATTGTTGCAGATTTGTTCACAGTTATGTGTACGAGGATTGCTACACTCATCAAAATCTGAAGCGAAAAAAATATACTCCACATGTAATGTCTCAATACTGTATCTGCAGTCATTTATTCTCATCTCCATCACCAACATCACCACCACCACCATCACTACCGCCACCATCATCACCACCACCATCACTACCGCCACCATCATCACCACCACCACCATCCCCACCACCACCACCTGGGTAGTGCAGCAACAGGTAGGGCCCATACGGACAACCACAAGTATAATAATGCCCTCCTATTATACTGTACTATTGCCATTTAACCGTTATCACCACCACAACCATCACCACCACCACCTGGGCAGTGAAGCAACGGGTAAGGCCCATACAGACAACCACAAGTATAATTTGCCCTCCTATATACTGTACCATACAGACAGCACCCTACATTGGCAATGTAATTACTGGTAGGGCTCATAATAATATGCAGAAATTTACGCACCAATTCAAAAAACATTATCAAAGGCGCAGTGAACAATTAACCCAATTAAAGCGATTTTGAAAACAAAAAAGTTTGTCGATCAGAAAGAGGTAAAAGATTCTGAAGATAAGATGCTAGAACAGAAAAAGAATGTTGTCCATATGTTTTTAGCTTTTTTCTTTTTTGAAGGGGCTTGAAGAAGAAATTTATCGAAAGAACGAAGTGTACAAGTTGGAAAATATGACGTAAGAAAATGTTGCAAATAGGATGTTTGTTTAAAAAGAAGTGATTTAAAAATATGCAAAAGAATCTTGAATATTATCCGTTGTTTAATGGCAAGCCAATAAGCTCATAGGCAACTTGGCAACACAAGTACATTTGCCCTCCTTGGTTATACAGAGTACTACATATCTTGATAATGTAGCTAATGGTAGGGCTCATAGCCCAATGGGTAACCACATACTTTACCATACAGACAATACCCTACCTTGACAATCACTCGTAGGGCCACTAACCCAATGGGCAACCACAAATATAGTTGCCCTCCTATATATTTCATCATACAGATTGAACCTACCTTGACAATGCAGCCACTGGAAGTTCTCATAACCCAATGGGCAACCACATGTATAGTTTCCCTCTGTGTTTATACAAAATGCATTCTCGGACACATCGCAGCCATTCCTGTTTGTAGCGCATTCATTAATATCTATACATTCTGTTTTGTCCTCAGTTACTTCATAACCCGGAAAACACCTAAAATTATTGGACAATGTAATACAGATGTTAATTCCCAGAGTTGTACAATACAAGAATATAATACATCCAACTAAATATCACAATATTTATTTAATATATTCATTATGCTGCATTTTGAGATCACTTATACAAAAAAAAACTAGAAAATGCACTACTTTATATATATGGTAAATCAACTTTTACTCAATTAAGTACGTATATAATCTTATCTAGCAATAACAATATTGATTTCTAGTGTCCCAAGTTGGACGAAGACCCTCAGGGCAATGTGGTTATTAAATGAGCTTTCTTAACAGATACAATTTTATTTTGCTGTGCATGTGTGAAAACTATTGGCACTGACTTCCATGAGACAATTGATAATAATGTAGTAAAACAAGCCAACATTATAAATTTGTAGGATATTGTTAATTTCCTGGCAGATTCTTCACTTGCAGGAGTGCAGGAGGTCCTCCCAGTTTCTGTGAGACTCTTGTGTTTTCCAGAAGACTTGAAACCCTTGTGATTATGTGTCCATTTGTAAATCATAACATGAATTTTAGCTTCAAAGAAATTATAACATACTTACTGGCATGAGTATGACCCTGGCGTATTGATACATTTCTGTGAACAGTCTCCATTATCATCCAGACATTCATCAATGTCAAGACATGTTACACCATCATCATTTAGATAATATCCTTCCTCACATATACATTCAAAGGATCCTATAGAAACATCAAATGGAATACTGTTATGTAACTATTCTTTACATGTACTTTAAATGGATCCTTTATAATGACATTTAAAAAAATATACTGTAACATAAACTGTTATTTTTATAATAATATCTACCACATTATAATAGGAAAAATAGTTATGGATGTTTTTATCATAATTACACGTGACAGATTATGATATTCAATCATAAATTATCTACTCACCCCGACTGTTTAAACAATGATGGTTGCACGGCCCTTTGTCATCATCGGAATTCTGGCATTCGTTGATGTCAACGCAAACACGATTGGTGCGATCAGTCCCTTGATACCCTGCTCGGCACCGACAATTGTGTCCCCCGAGAGAGTTTGCACAAACGTGTTGACACCCGCCGTTATTTATCATACATTCGTTAATGTCCAAGCAGCTTGTCTGATTTTCATTAGGTACAAAGCCAGGATTGCATTGGCAAGTAAAACTGAAATGAAATTTCACTATAAGTTGAGGGCGCTATGCGAATGAAAGTTTCACCATTTTACTGGGGGTATAGTGAATTCATGGTGGTATAAAAATAAAATGCTTACAATATTTTTCAAGTACTAAAGAAAGTTTCATGTTGTGAAGCTGTTACACCCATTTATTTTGTGTACATACAAATGAATCTTCCACCCACCGAGAGAATAAATCGATATAACTCCACTCCCACCTTCTAATGAAACATACAGACTCATTCTATAGTTGGATCTGTTGTTGGATTCAAATATTATAAATGAAAACAGTACATTAAAAATTATGATTACCAACAATTTTAATACAGGTTTCCCACCAATTAAAAACCACTTTTGGGGCTGTTGTTTCAATGGTCTTTAGCAGCCTTAATCTCTCATTATAATAATTAAGAGGGAGGCAAACCTGTATAGCCATTTAATCATTGACTTATAACCTAATACTGACCTTCCAGGAAGATTTGTGCATGTGTGGCAGTCTTCAGGTTTGGGCTCACATTCATTGATATCCTGGCAACCATCCTCTTCTTGGCTGTACCCATCAAAGCACTGGCATCGGTAACCACCAGGGAAGTTCACACAATCCTGATCACATGTCAAGCGTAGCTGAGTAGCACATTCATCAATTTCTGGAAAATTAAACACATACATGTTAAAAGTATACAATAGTTAATGTATATCTATATCGAACAAATGTTGTTCTTTGATAAAAATTTAATAACCCGAAATGTACTTACTGGTATTTCCATATTGAATAAATAAAATTTAATCTTAGTCTGAATCGGAATTACATAATATGTTCGGATTGTTAAATTGTTTGATTGAAAGTGTAAAAGAGATATAAGAAAAAGAGTTAGACATATTGTGGTGCTGACTTGTGGAACAATATTGATGAGACCACAAAAAATAGTACCACTCTTAAAATTTTTAAAAAGATTATTTCAACATAACTTTTAATTACAGACTATTGGTAGAATCTCCGGTTTTAAGTTTTTCTATTTTTCTTTCATTTGTATTTTTGTAAGTAGTTCTTGTTTAGTTGTTCATTTTATAGGTTCTTATGATATGTAAAAGATACGTCCTCATGGAAGAATACCACCTTTTGTAAAAGAAAGATTTTATTATTATTCTTATCATTATTATAAAGTGTTAGGGCAAACATTTATCAGCCTTACCTTTACAAACCCTAGCATTTGGACTGAGTTCAAACCCTTTCTCACAATCACAATAATAACTTCCAGGTGTGTTAATACAAAGCTGGTTACACTGGTTGCTATGGATATCAAATGGTGACGATTTTCGTGAACATTCATTAATATCTACATACCAAAAAGAAAAATACAAGTTATGACAAATACAGGATAAATAGATCAGAATAGTTACATTATGTAAACAGTCCTATTCATATCATATTTATGCAACTCAACCAATAGGATAATTTCTAAACAAATTTACATAAAATGGCAAATGATAATCTATGTACATCAAATACATTCTGTATAATATTCTCACGACAAGGCTTAAAAGAGTAAATTAAGATTGAAATAAAAAAATAAGTTTAAGATTGAAAAACAGGGGGTCATCAACACATACACACTTTTGATTTTAAAAAAAAATTTGTCTTATGTGCGGATCGACAGCTAATTTACTACTACAGAAATGAAGCTACATAACTGTTAGTATGAATAAATGCAATTATAAATATTGGGAAATAAGAACCCATATACCCATTAAACAATGTTATTCTAAAAAATGGCCCTACATTTGGCTCTGTTTTTAGCCAGCTAGATGCAGTATCAAGACCATTATGATCAGCAAACCGACGAGCAAACAAGGGGGGTCATCTTATACACCCGACATAAATGAATCTTCTCAAACTCAGGGGTAATCTTATATGTTCCATAATCTTATGTACTATGTTTAGTTTGTTTATTATTTATCATTAAATTATAGTACAGTCTTGAAAATGGACATGAGCCAATCATCTTGAACAACTTTCCAGAAAGTCTGTATTCACTATTTACAATGTTTTATATAATTTCCTGTTTAGTTTTAAATAAATTGGATAAATTACCTTGGCAACCTTTGCCATCTTCTTTCAGTTCAAATCCCAAATGAACAGTTTACTATTACATTTTGAACTTTTACAATTATGAATATTGGTCTTTGTGGTCAAGACCTGTCCATTATATAAGTTGCTGTCCTAAAATATTCCGTACTGAAGCCAAGAAGTTCAACTTTTGCCTAACGAATTGTTTAAATCAGCTAGAGGTCAACAACCTCAAGTCAACAAGAAGACATTAAGGAAACATTAAATTTTATGGCGGATATGATGTTCCTTGGTTATCAATTTCATGGCAGGTTTTTTTTGTATATCAATGTATATTAAATTAACCTGTACACCACCACATGACATATGGGTGTAATTCTGGCTGGCCAAAGCAAGCAGCTTATGCATACATTTCCTGAATATGATTTTCATCAACAAACTATTTTAGGAATGTCTTAAGGAAATTCACGTGCTCTGAAAAAAACTTGTATCGGGCAGCGAAAACATGTTTTTTTTTTCAATAACAAGTGCCAAGTATGAGTTATCTCAAAGAACAAATTTATAATTATACTAGAGTAGTCACTTCATAAAGTGCAAACTTCAGCCCTGTATGATGGGCAAAACTGCAGCATACCCTTAATGAAATAATGAAATAGCCCGTCATATTCAGGCACATTAATTTTTTAGTGTCGTAGCATACCTTCAGATAATAATGGAATCGTCCATCATATCTAAGCACATTATTTTCTTGAGTGCTGCCTGAATACGAGGGGCGATTCTATTATTTTCTTTTATGCTTAAGCGTAACAAAAAATGAATTTTCATGACATTGTCCTTTAACCCTTTATTTCAAACATTCAAAGATGTCTTATTCAGATTTTATTATGAATCATTCATATAAATTTCATGATAATCCATTCATTAGTTTTTTGTGTCAATCTTGCTAACAGACAGCAGTGAATACGTAACCTCCTTGGTGGAGGTAATTATAATCTTGGAGTAATAATACTATGGTTCCTCGCGTATAAGTTGATCTCTAATATAAGCCTACAACCTACAGTACTTCAAATCCAATTCAAGTACCAGTGTCGCCCAAGCAAAATCTACGGGTATGATGTAAATGAGTTGCTCACCAAAGCAAAAATAAAAAATACAAATTGAAAATTTGCCTTTTAATTAGCAACTGTAAAGTTGACAGTGGAATCCCCCGATAATAAACTCCATCATAGCATTGTCTATGTAATGAAGACATATTGCATAATAATAGTTCTCATGTGAATGTGAAGGACTTAGCAGTGATAGCCTTTCCGCAAAAAGAAACTTGCGCATGTCATCCATTAAAATATTCACACAAAATACAGTACTAGCTTCCAACAGTGAGTGTCATGCCACTTGATGGACTAATGATTACACTAATTAGTCTCTTTGTGAGGCTAAGGGAGCACAGAGGGGGCGACTCCAGAAACATGCAAATGCCCCCCTGTCCCTCTGCTGGCACCACCACAGGGAGCAGCAGGAGTGGATTTGGGGGGGGGGTCCTAAAAAAAAAAAAAGAAAGAGAAAAAATTGATCGCCCAAAATGCCTCAGTTGTTATTTTCGGGCATCTAGAAAACAAAAATTTCACGGGGCAATCACCCGGTCACCCTGGTGTGGTGTTATCTTGTTCGGCCCCACTTTCGGCGCCCCCCTTTGGTTCCCCTTTTGGACTTCTCTGGATCCGCCCCTGAACAGAGTGAGATTAGGACTTGGAGTTGAAAGCAAGCATCTTATCCACCAAGACAATGAGTACAGAAATCATCATAAAATTACTCACCTCGACAGGTTTGCTTATCCTCATTGAGGACTCGGTTATGAGTTGAACAGTGACACCGATAACTTCCTCTGATGTTGACACAATCTTCTTCACATCCGCCATTGTTGATGTGACATTCATTAATATCTACAACGACCAATCAGAAACTTATTAACATCTACTTTAAATCAATCCATCAAACAAGCAATAAATGTATAAAACATACTTTAGATATTGTACATTCAAATTTAATGAGGAAGACATTTTATGTTTTTAGTTGCGATGGTCCAAAATTGTTCTTTCAGACCACACTATTAGAGATGGCTATCACACATTGTTTGGATCGACAAAGTAATACTTTTAGTTAAACGACCTTATTGTGACGTTGAACGACAGGAGGTCCATGCTTGTCAGATGGGAGAGAGGGTAATTGCTGGAGTTATTTCATCCTAATGGAAAATTCTAAACCCAGGGAACCTCCAGAACTAAAATACGCACCTTTACACTGCAACCCATTTTCCATTAATTTATATCCAAGTTGACATGAACATATAAATGACCCTTCAGTGTTGAAGCAGAGTTGACCACATGGATTCAAACCCTGCTGGCATTCATTAATATCTATAATTAATCAAAACAACACAAAATATACATATATTAGAAACAATCAGAAAGAGTGTATCAATGGCCGTATTCGACTTGCTGTTCTTCGTTAAACAACGCCTACCTGCACAGTGGTAAAATCCTACTTAAGGAAGACAACCAGAGGAATAGAAAAGTGGTAAATACTAAAAAAATAACATATACGCTTGCATAATAATGGCATAATCAAGGTTACTTCGGCTTATGGTAGTATGGGGTTTTTGTAATAAATGTGTTTTCATGCAGTTTTTGAATTCTATTAGCCTACAATCATATTTTGACTTTATGTGGGTAAATATTATATTATTTTCTTAAATTTAATGTATAATATATAACGCAAATGTTGTTGCTAAACTGACCAATTGACCTTGTTTGTTTTAGTCATGTGGATAACTTTTTGCAAATCAACGCACTTTACACACTCTTGCGTCAATTTCCATTGAGTTTCCAAATGAAAATAATGCTCGAATATGGCCAATGGTACAAGAAATTCCATATCTGAACAAACGCCATGACAATAATGATGGCAATCTAATCAAAACGTAATTTCTTTAACAAAATGAAGTTATTTTCTTCCGCCACTTGATATACTTATACATCAGAATTATTATTATTATTATTATTGTTATTATTGTTACTATGTTGTAATGATGTTGTTTGTACTGTTCTTTGATTTTATTAAAGAGTGCCCCTGAATATCAGTTAACCTACTGGGCTAAACTGGAAGGGTTACCCTCTTTAAAAATGGTTGAAATAAAAAAAAAAATTAAAAAAAAAATTTGACTTTACATACTGGACTTTATCTAACTGTTAGCTTGACCAATAATCAATCTTAATAGGGTTCAGGACTAGTGGACAGACAGAAAATCTCATAGATTTACTGTTCTTTGTTTAAGTCTCTATAGTTTTGGTGTATATCAATTTAATTATTTATATAATTAAGATTCTTATTATATTTATAAATTCTTTACGACTATGTACGACGAAAACAACAATCATATAGTAAGCATTATAATAATAAAATAGTAAAATTATATTGTTATTCTTACAACTTACCATGACATGACTGTTGATCATTTTGAAGCCTAAAGCCATCCCTACAGTAGCACTCAGCTTGGTTGTCCACGGTCAGCCTACAATATTGCTGACATCCCCCATTGCCTATGTCACAAGGTGAGGGCTCAGCTTCTACCAATCAAAAAGAAGTATTACAACATTATTAGCATAAATATAAATTATCATGATCACTCATCTTCCAGTAGGAAGCTTTATTATGATAACATAATTTACATGAATGCAAATTATCAGTATCTACCAATAAGAAAAACATTTTTTTTTAAATAGATTGTGTATATCTTTTGTATGTTATGTTTGTTTTGTTTTATATATATGTAGCTATTTTAATGTTTTGTTGTTTCGCTGAATGATTGTTTTATAATGTGTTTTAATGTACATGCCGATTTCAGCGAATGCTGCCCTCTGTTTTTATTGTTGAATGAAATATACCTGAATAATAATAAGAAAGTAGCATATGTTACTAGTATAAATGCTAATTATGGAGTATGAAAAATTAGTTCCTAACAATCTGAAACATTGATGCCTTCAAAAGACAACTGAACTGCCACTTTTTTTAGAGAATTAAGTTATGCACAGTTAGTTGGTGTTCTAGAGAATTTATTCTATAAAACACTGTTTGTTTATTATTATTATTATTATTATTATTAATCACACATCCTTAGAAACAAATGTAAATTAACAAATTATTAATCAATAAATAGCCAAGTTTATCAGACCAAAGTATATTGGCAAATTGCAGGTATTTTTTCAACAATAATTTATAATAAATTATAAGAATAATATTTAATACTGACCTGCACAGCTTAATCTATCATCTTGTAGGACTTTGTTAGGACTTGAACAACTACACTTGAAACTTCCACGTATATTGGTGCAATCTTCTTCACATCCGCCATTATCTGATTGGCATTCATTAACATCTACAGGAAAAATAGAACCATTGGAATATCATTCATAATACATAGATTGTATTTCTGTGTAATTTTATAATATCTTGAGAGCCGAGATACATGTTTCTCTAGTGATGGTGATGATGGTGTTGGTAATGATGGTGGTTGTGGTGATGATCGTGGTAATGATCATGGTGGTAATGATAATGGTGATGATGGTGGTGCCGATCATAATGGTGATCATGGTAGTGATAATAGTGGTTGTGATGGTGGTGATGATGTTGATGAAAGTAGTGCTGATGGTGTTGATGATGATGATGGTGGTGGTTTTGGTGATGATCGTGGTGGTAATGTTGATGGTGGTGATGATGGTGGTGATGATAGTAGTGATAATAGTGGTTGTGATGGTGGTGATGATGTTGATGCATGTAGTGGTGATGGTGTTGGTGATGATGATGGTATATAATAATAATAATGATAATAATAATAATAATAATAATAATATTAATAACAATAATAATAATAATAAAACTTGAAAAGCATCATGCAACATGAATGTCCACTCAAACTCATTCATCAAACCACCAAACTTCTCTACCAATGGACACTATCGCTTCACCAACAAAACCCATACACATACCTTTACATAGCCCGTTTTGGTTCATCACATACCCAGGTAGACAAAAACACCCGTACGTTCCTTCGTAATTCCTACATATCTGTTCACATGGCTCAGATTGTCGGCATTCGTCAATATCTAAATGAAAACAAGAAATTTAAACATATGAGATGAATATTTGTGGCAGCATGTGCTTTTTGTAGAATAATGACGATGCTTCAGAGAAATGGTGTTCAATCTTTTTATGAATATTTGCCGAAGTCCTTCTATGGCTTTAAGTAACAGATGTATATTTTATTTATTTTTTATTTGATTCCTTTTATCCAGCAAACAATACACTAAATAAGAAAACGAAGACAAGGACAAAGAAAGAGGGAGGCTAAAGCTGTTTCTGATTTTTTACTAACAGACTCCAAGTTGGGCTGCAGATGGGGAGAATTTCTCTTTGCATAATATTTTTAAAGGCATGGCATTTTGTTTGTTTGGTTATGCCTGTGTTTTTGCCCTTTCATTCTATTTATTGTTTTATGTATACTGTGGCATTTGGTCTTAAATAAAAAAAAAAGAACTTAATTAAACACAAGTTTAAAAAACACATAGTTTAATATAAAGTACCGGTATACAAAGAAAAAGACATTATGTTAGAAATAGTTTTTCCTCACTGTTACATTCAACTTTTAAAACATTTTTTTAACAAAAATATGCATGTTTGTTAGTAATCTATATATGGGTTCTTCTCAAGACTACAAAACTCCACAAAAAGTTTGATTATCATGAGCATTATGGATAATGCATTTCATGGGTGGGCAATGAATGCAAACTGGAAGTACATTGTTAGACTAGATGATAGATGCTGCCTTTTGTTCCATGGGCTTCATTGTTTTTACTGTTTTCATGTTTATTTTTGAAGTATATTTTGTATGTATGTACTTCGTTTGCAAAAAATAAACAAATAAATTTTAAAAAAATTTAAATTAATAAAATAAGAAAATAATAAACCAATCATTTTATAAATATTACATATTTTGATTATTTAATATATATATATGTTCATTTTTATCTATATTTAATTTAATACTTACCATTACATGATTTTCCATCTATATCAAGAACAAAACCATCCCTACAGAAACAGTCAGGCTGGTTATCGCCAGACGGTCTACAATTGTGCTCACACCCGCCATTATTTGTATCACAAGGCGATGGTCCGGCGTCTGCCAATAAAAAAGTAGTAATCGCACCACATTAGCATATATGCAAATTACCAGTAATTGAGTCACATTTAGCAAAACAATATATTTTCAGTTGATGGTTCAGCAACAATCCTACTAAAATGTGACTGTACAGCATCTTCCAACTGACAGGCAACTAAATCTTATTGGATTATGAAAAATTAATAATAAGCATATCTATTATTTTACAAGGAATAATGTAATGTAGTTTCATTACATTGCTTTTTTCCTATTGGTATAAAGTAATGTAATTTTAACTTAATGAAAGAAATTGACACTGTAATAAACATAAAGTGATAAGGAATTAGGCAGTAACATAAATAAATCAGAAATAGTGCAGCAGTCTGTTGACTTACTAATTTATTAAAAACATGTTTTATTCATACTCCTGTCAGCTTCGGTGAAGCCATTATTGTTATAAATATATTCTACACATTGTTTATACACATAATATTACTATTTTTGGCAGAAAACTTTAGTGTTGGTGCCTAGATAAGCAAGGTAGTCTAGAAATATTATAAATATGAATAAAACACTTGGAATAGAGTTCTTTAAAAAATCAGGCATCATTAGTAAATTCTCCTTCATTTATGGTACCATATATATTACCAATCACTAGCAACTATTAATTTTGTTTTAAATCACAATAATTGGAATTTGTACATACTGATAGCTTCAAAGTGACCGTTAAATCCTCCATAGTTAACGGAATTGTCAGTCGTCAATTTTATGAAGAGTCTATTCGTCGTTGACAGTATATCCGGGGGAAGTTCACGTCCGCATTTTCTTCCTAACGAATCTGAGTCTGTAATGATAATAATGATATCAGCATAACAGAAGTATATTCAGTTTTATTTGGTAAACAGTATTATACCCCATTCAGACTAGCATCGCATTGCGATCGATTGTAGCAATTGCGACACCCAATCGCACCTAATCACAAAGTAAAATCGTGTGTGAAAGCTCACCAATAGTAGTCGATATGTAATCGATAACGCAATTGTTACCCATTGTGATTGGGTGCTACAATCTTTATTACTGTCGATTACTACGGAATCTGATCGCAACGAATCACAACGAATTCCACAGGCACTGTTTGGCTGAGGTCAGGCAACATAGGCCTAGACACCGGAGGCCTAGGCCCTAGAATGTAAAGTTTGTTTGTGTTGGTCTGAATGCGTTCGTTGATTGCAATCGGGAGTAATCAGTTTTGGATTACCACCGATTACATCGCAACCGATCGCAACAGAGTGTAGTCTGAATAGGGTATTAAAGTAATTGTAATCCTACCTTAAATGATTGTACTTTGTTCTCTGTCAAGATTTAAGAGTGGACTAACTGTCACATCCCCCACTTTCCAAAATTATTATACCACTCAATAAGCTATCATTAATAGTAAGGTGATGTATAACCAGAATATTATATTTTTGCATATACGTTGTGAAGAATGAATATTAGGCACATTCACTCAAGAAATACTCTGTGAAAGGCTAAATTGTTGGTATTTATGCCTTCACAACCTGACATACAAATTATGCACAAGTTAAACAACAAGATGACAATACTGTACTATATTTGTCTGGAATAGTTCTCTATGGTGTTGTTATTATACAATTGATTTTGTCAATGTGCATTTTTATTTTTAATTTAGTTTAATAAGTTTCATACAATTGTATTTATGTACCTCACAGCCTTTTGTATGAACACCCACTGGGTGATCTTACAAGATTATTATTATACCCAGTAATTCTCCTTCTTTCAAACATTTAATGGCTGTTTTAATATGGGTAAGTAGCTTTTGATGTACTTATAATGTCTTAATTTTGTGTATTGCTTTGTCTGTTTGGAGTTGTTTTTGTTTTTTTGGATTTCACTTGCCGTTGTAATATATGTTATTTCTATAGTAATAATAATGTATTCAAACATACACTTTTTTAAAGTGGCACACATCGAATGATGGTGCGTTCAAAAGAAACAAGAAATTCAAATTAACTAGACTATAACATTAAGTAATTATGACAAAAAAATAAATGAGATGATAATCAGAAACAAAATTTAAAGTAAAGCAATGAGTTTGTATAAATTAAATTTTTTAATAACTAAATTAACTTAGCAAATCCAAAATAAACAGCTAAAAAAAAAAGATAAGTTACAGACATAAATGGAACAAATGTTTTTTTTTTTATAAAATTTTAATGACCTGAAAATGCACTTTACTGTTATTTCAATATTGGACAAATAATATTTTATCTGAATTTTTTACACACCATCAAATGTGACAAATGTGAGTGATGTGACCATATATAGGTACGATGATGTGATATTACAATTTTTTAAATTTCCCTCAAATCCAACAGCCCATACACTCACCACTCACAGGATGGAACAATGTCTCTTCTTGAGGCCAAGGGAGGGTGGAATCGGTTTTAGTCGTGAGAAAAAGTCCTGCTGTGACAGGAACTGAACCCAGGACCCTGGGATTAAAAGGGAAGCCTCTTAACCACTAAGTTATTCAACTCTACACCCAAATATAGGCATGTCAAACTTATTTGTCACATAGACTTGTATAGTGTAGACTGAGCCTTAGAACAGGGACAAATCATTTCAATCATCATAATTTTGATATAAGCTTTTAAAGGACAACAGATGATGCCTATAGGATCTGTTGGGGATTTATAAACCACACTTAACATGTGTCTAGTATCTGTCTAGTCAAAATATATGATTCATCCAATTTCTCATCTTCAACACTAAATTAAATTAGATGTAATCATTGGAAGATTAGCATCCATATAAGAAATTAATATTCATGATTAATAGTCATCGACATTCCTCAAATGGCATTCTCCTATTAGGATGCATATTTATTTATGTTAATTAAAACTGATGAATTGAAAAAATTGAAAAACAAAAAAATTACATGATGTAAATTGGAATTATGTAAATTAAATTGTGTTTTGCTAATTACCTTACATTTCAAATTAATATAATTTATTCATTATTACATTTCCACTAAGTACAGCAAAGGTCCTTATTGTCAATACAGCTTTATTTAAACCTGAAATTGTCTGTAAAAAACAAACACATAAGACAAACCTCTACTTTCGCCATCAAGGATTTCAAGGTAGTCATAAGCACACCGGCTGTTTGGACTTTTGCCCTCCAATTTGAAATCCGTGAAAGAGATCTTGATTCGCTTTCCAGGTGGCGCGTTAAATTTATACGTACATTGGATGCCGTCCATGTAATTGTTAGGGTAATTGGGGGAGTGGAAATCACCTTCTAGTCCATTGAAGGTCCATGAACAACCTTAAAAGAATAAAAGAGTTTTATTTTTATTGTTATTTATTCAGGAAAGTACATATATATCATTCTTATAAATCAAACACTTTATGCCAAATAACTAATGCAACAATTCTTAAACTATGTGTCCCAACTAAAAATTGGGTTACTAGATGAGTTAGAGGGGCGTGAGCCACTTTAGGGGTTTTTTTTTTATAAATATGATTTTACATTCTTCTAAAATTTGCCATAGTGACGAGAACATATCCTAATTGTAATTTAAAAATTTTACTTCAATTTTCTTCACCAGTTGGTGACTCATTTTGAGAATCTGATATTAACGTCCCGAGAAGTAGGTAATGGCAAATTGCCTGGATGTCGGTCAAAATGTTTGAGAGCCACTGGACTAATATAACAGTTAATTTTGTCAAAGCAGTTGCATTAAAGGCTCTCATTTAAGAGGTGTTGGAATCGCATGCAGAGGGCCTGACAAAATGCAGTCAGAGGCACTGCAAATGTCCCTGGAGACATTCTTAAAAGTAGGCAGTATAGATATAATCTATATGCTACTACAACTATGAAGATGTCATTTATTTTTATTTGGATCACCATGGCTAACTTTTGAACAGAATACATCTTCATTATAGTTATGCTCAACATTTTTTAACAAAATTTAAAAGATTTGCATTTATGTATTGTACAGTATATTTACTGTACATATTGTTTTTATATTGTTGATCATTATTATTATATTTTATTTAAATTTCTTATTTCATATTTTTTTACTTTTACACTGCCACGCTGCAGATAAATTGTATTTAATATGTTTGGAGGCCCCTCGACGCTAAGGCTTGTGAAGAGCCTTCATGTGAAATATTAAAAAAACAAAAAAAACAAACAAAAACTCTGAGCATGACAATTAAATGCAACTTATTTCACTTTGGCTTATCTCAAGCACAATTCCATACCATTATTACTTTGACTTCCTAACTACAAGATTTAATAAGAAGAAATCAGATAATGTGTGATGTAAGTGTGTTTCACGTAGTTTGAATTGAGTTTTTGTGATTTGTACTATTTAATATTTATATTTATTTTTGTACTGAACTGGATTCGCAATAAGGAAGAAAATTTTAATAATTGTACGCTGTATTTTTATAAAAATAAAGTTATCTGTATATAGGTATTTTGTAGATTTGGTTTAATTTTATATTCCAAATGGCTCCCTCTGTTGTTGGACTATCATGGCTACTTTCAACCAACTGAAAATTAACAGGCAGCATGGTGGAAATTGAACATTGTTGAAAGATCTTGAAGCTGATAGTGCAGTAAACTGTCACAACAAACACCTAATTCATTGACTTAATTCCAATACTTCCAAAACTATTAACATCAGTTACAAGTATTTTGGTTTTGTTTATTACTATTTAATTCAATCTGATTCAATGTTTACCAGAAATTGTTATTAACCACATAATTAATCTTATACAGTATTTAAGAATGCAGTATAAACATAAATCTTTTAACACATGCTTATACACAGTGGTGGATTAAAGGAAGGGGGGAGGGGAAATTAGGACATAGCCATCCCACTGCCCCCAACCAACAAATTTTGTCAAGTTAATTTCTAAAAGAAAAGGAAAAAAAAGAAAATTATGTTGAAATTTAGGTCTGAGAGTGCCATTTCCAGTAATCTAGAGGTGCCATAAATGTTCTGGCTCCATCTACTGTATGGGAGTCCCCCTCCTCCCAGAGCTCCATTCCACCCACCCACACCCCACCCCCACACTGATACAGCAAATTCATAGTTAAAACTTGCATGTAACCACTGTGAAATTTATTAAATCTTGTAGTATACAACGTTACTTACCTTCACTGAAATTTGCTGAAAATCCACCCTTTTCAACAGAACTATCTGTTTTAAACTCCACAAACAGCATGTTTCCGCTGGCTGTTAAATCCCGCGGTGTTTCTGGACCGCAGAACTTACCCAGAGATCGATCATTGTTACTGCTTCCATCAAATACCTCCACATAGTCATAACTATTATCAACAAAAAATTATAATAATATTTTTAAAAAAATATGTATTGGTCTTAGGAGTTTAATAGATATTACATACTACCAACAATTTTTTGTGCTTTTCATTAAGCTAAACAAATTTTCGTGATGCCTACTTATCATTTCTGGGTTGAGAGAGACACCTTAACCCCATCACCGAGAATGGTCTTTTCCGTATTTTCAATCAAACTTAACAACTGACAAATCAAAACAAAGTCGTGAATATTGCACTTGTCCTAAAAATACTGTATAAGCCCTATTGTCCCATAAATGCACGTAAGTTATGTTTCAAGCATCGACTAAATTTGAATGATTGTTCTTACCATGGAATTTGTGATAGTATTGAATATATAATAGGTGATGTTTTCATTAACAAAAACATGAATTTATTAAATGCTAATTAATCTTTTTATTTGATTCAACTTTAATGAAACTGAAATAAATTCTCACTGATTTAAAAAAAAAAATTGATCATTGTATATTTTGATGTCCCTTTTATTGAATTTTGGCTGTTTCTTATTTTTTTAAATTATATTTACTTACCTGTAATATTTGGAGGTTAATGAATAAATTTGAATGTTCAATTTCAATATTAAAATAAGTTTCAGACCTACATTCATTATCTATTGCCATTTCAAATGCATTACAAGTTGAGCCAAGCACTTGGCATAGAAATAGTGTTAGCAATTAGATATACTAATATGCCTGAGGTCAAAGATGCCTTGCCAAGGGTATGTTCATTGCAAATTAATAATCCCTATGGGATTCAGGGAAATCCAATGGAACATAGTGGTTTATGATTTCCAATATAATTCTTTTATTTCATTAGATACAAAATACAAAATACAAAAAATATATAAAAATATATATTTCAAATCAATGGAATCAATCAATGCTATAAAATAAAATATGTAAATACAATAAATGACCAACAACATTAAAATAAAAAAATATGTATAAAAAATAAAATAAAAAAAGTAAGTTAAAATAAATAGGTCTGATATAAAATTACCATCAGAATGTGTTATTGCATGATTATAAAAATTTAATTGATCTAAACCAGATTAAAAAATTGTAATACTACTGTAGTAAAACATTTAATAGAATGTGTTGAGAATGATATTGCTTTCATTAGATTTGTTTACTCTAATTCAGGGGGGTGTTTATTCCAAATGAAGCTCTAGATGGGGTGTTTATTTGAGGGAGGTGTTTATTTGAGGGGGTGTTTATTCATAGCAGCATATTTATTTGAATAAATATGGTATAAAAACCATAGGAAAAAAAAAAGACAGCTCTATGCTGCAGTACTTACTAACAATCACTTGCAGCTTCAACATCAAAAGACGTAAAGTCCAAAGTAATACGATTGCTGTTATCCGTGTGAATTAACCACGAACATTTCATATCACTTTCATATTTTCCCGGGAATCCTGGTGATTTGATAACTCCACTTCCGGCATAAAGTCTTTCTGTGCAATAAGGTGAGTATTCATTTAGTGCCTGAACACAGCAGACTACAGTTACCAAGAATACACTGAAAGACACAAAGTAGAAGAAATTAATACCGGTATTCTAAAGTCATCAAATTTTGGGGCGGATGTAAGAGGGGGTGGGAAGTGCGGACGGTGCGATCGCACCATCTAACAGCCATTACTCTATTAACTCTATATTTAGCAGTCAATGGCAGATCCAGGAATTTTAAATAGAGGGGACCCCAGCAAGGGACGTTTATGGATATGGAGGGTCAAGACCATTTTATGAGAGGGATAAGATTAAGGGAAAACTCAGGATAAGGTTAAGGGGGCAACACCATGATTTTAAAATAAGATAATAGGAGGTGGTTTTTATCTACTAAGATTATTATATTTTTGCTTAGAAAATCTTCAGTGAGGGACATGATTGGCAAAACAACTTTTTCTTTTTTTTTGTGGGAGGGGAGGTACACCTTGACACCCAATCCCCTTGTAGATATGCTTGTTTGTTAACACCATGGAACAATTAAGCTCAAGATATGAAAAGTTCTATGTACAAAGGTGATGTTCTTTAACATACTACAGAGTTATTTTATGCTTATGTAAAATGGTACTAGATCACCTTGACCTCATGGTCCATCAGGTCGGGTGATGTGTCAGGAATAATGTGATGTTCACATGTCAGGTGATCCATCAGGTGATCCATCACCATTGGTGACAGACTGACAGCTGCGATGCTGTTCATTATAGTCAAGATGTTGTTTATTTCTTACACAGTTGTAGCAGCAAACAATAACACAACTGTGTTTTTGAATTACAGTATAGTAGGCCTAAAGCTCTCTTCACCAAAATGCAAATATCTCAGGGCATATCATAGCTCCCTTTTTACACTAGGGTGGAGAAAAACACACATGGATAAAATATCTTCCCCAGATAAACAAATAGAATAATGCGATAGAATTTGGAAGGAAGGGAGTGAACTCAATTTTTTTTAAATCTATCAATAGTATTTTTTTCTCTTTCCTCTGCCTAATTGCTTTTCTAAGACCCATTCTGCTGTAAATAAATTTGATTTCCATCCACCAGAAAATCTTTCAAATATAAAGTTTGCTAAACAAGGTATAATAATCTTCAGCCTACATAACAGATTTTTATTACTGTAGTTCCTCAGATCCCACCTGGGGTACGAATCCACCTCCTACTTTTATACCCAATACTAGGGCGGATACAGGATTTGGCGATAGGCGGGGCGTGAGGGTTCACATACCTCAGCTGCACCATGGTTGGGGCTGAGGTGTGAAAATTTTGAGAATTAAACTCTCTAGGTGCCCGGAAATTGCACTCTCTACCTTAAAGGTTTTACCAGTAATTCATATCAACTATACAATGCAACTATTTTCTTTATACAATTTAGGGGGTGCGATTGCACTATATCTGCCTCAGCAATTGTATCAGCCTTTCTTCGGGCAAAGCCAAGGGTATAAACTGAATGAGTAGCTTAGCTGATCTTTACAAATACCTTTCTCTATGCAAATAGCTTATAAACCGCGCCCCCCTCCCCACCCAAAAAAAAAAAAAAAATGACCCAATATTATGTTTAAGGGATGTGGGCTTATGGCAGAGAAACTACTGTATATAAAGCTATTATAGATTATTGCAAGTAAAATAAACCAAGTTAAACCATTCTTTATAAACTGACTCAAATTACTGTAGCTGGCTCAGATGGTAATGGTAATGGTTGGAGACTTATATAGCGCATAATACAGTACATGGTCTCTATGCACTCAGGACTAAATAAATAAATCATCACTTTAAACCTGAAATATTTATGTTGACTCAACAATGACTTCCATAGCCACAGGCAAAATAAACATTGCATAAAACTTGTTCCATGTATAAACAGACGTATAACTAGGTTGTGGTGAAACTGCATTTCCTTGACAGCCATAAACGTTTTTAAGTCAGCCATTACTGTGTACTTTTTGGAAAAGGATGTAAATTATGGCAGATTATCAAGTACAGCAACACCTCAATACAATTCATCAATCATCAGGTAATTTGTTGGGGAAAAAACAACATGCTTCTACCAACCAAAGGTAAAGTTTTGACTTTGCCATTTCACCTATTTTTTTGTACTTTTATGTTATCAAGTTCAAACTTCCTTCCGTTCAATGTCAAATCAAGATGTTTTGAAAAGTACATGATATATACTTTTGACAAACCAGTGTATCAAAGCAATCAAAGCATTTGCTTTACCCATAATAATGCTTATTATAATTAGGGGCCTAATTAACAATGCCAAAATTTGTTATAAATCCCTATAAAAAATATTACTAGTTTATCACACTATCTAGGCTGGAAAAGTGATGAGGGAGGGATTTTTTTTTTTGTGTATTATTTATTTTGCTGAAGCCAAATATCACCCTTGGGTTGATTGCTGGTGTACTGATATTCAAAGTAAAACATGATTGTGATAATACAAACAATATCTACTATTTTATTTTTAAAAATGAAAAAAAATAATTTAAAAAAAAACCAAACAAATACATTAAAACCCTTAAGGGACCAAAGAAGTGTCCCCCTTATATTGTAAGAAAAACTGGCACCTAAAATCACAGGCTATAGACCGGGGATGGGGGCATAAAAATCTGTTGGAGGAGGGTCAAAGTGAATGCTTGATTGAATACTGAGGGCCGCACCCAAACTTTGATGTTTACAATGTGCTCCAAAAACTTTGAAGCACTGCTTTATACTATTTTATTCTAAATATTAACATTACTTTTTACAGATGATCGGTGTCAGGCCATAAAAAAACAATTTGTCTTCTAGTCAAAAATGTTTGGCGGGCCACACACGTACGCTTTTTAATACATTCTCGTGGGCCACAACAAAAAATCACTGTCGGGCCGCATGTACTATTTGTCTCCTTTGTGGCCATCTTCTTACTAAAAATTGGAGTGGAGACGACCTGAAACGCATGTATTCTTAATTAAAAGAGAAAAATGTAGATCCTGCATTTTCGAGCATTTTTAGGAAATTAAATTTCCAGAGTTCGAGGGAGGTGGGGATTGATCCCCATTAAATGGGTGGGGAGAGGTGCCTGCAAATTTGTCTTAATTGGAATGTCTGCATAAATAAAAGATGAAAATAATAATGGCAAAAAATTGTTTTTGCCAAATACTAAATTTAATTATGGTGATGTTCCGTACAGTATGTTAATTCATGCATTTGTAGAGTTATGTTGTGTGTTTGCCCTAAAAACTTTCTCCTGTTACTTTATTCTCTATTCTTTTGGTGGCCTAGTTCTTACCAAGATTTTCCTGTACTATCAGGATATTGAATTCACCTTTTTAGGTGACTTAAAATTAAATAAGTATATGGATTATAATGCTATATCAGGATTTCCCGAATGGTCCCTCAGGAGTTTTCATTGAGAGAATCACGTACTGGATGACTCACACATAAACGCAATCAATGTCCCATAGTCTGGCAGCTATTATCAAACTTGAACCCAAAAGTTTTCAGTGATAACAGATGACTGACCCTCATTAAAACCTGATAGATAATTAGCACATATGAACTTAATTTAGAAGGATATGCAAAGAATTGTTTCACACTCATATTTGGCTACTTAGTTTTATGTCCAGGATTTGAATTTATTTTTTGGTGAAGGGTATTGCTGCTATTTACTTGTGGTAAACAGGCTGGTAAATAAGGCCAATTTGAAAAAAAAAAACGAAAAAAAAAAAAACAGTCTCTCTTCCTAATATTTTGAAAAAAGGAGAATGAGTGCAATTTTTTTTTTTACACTCCGACATGACAAATCCAAGATGGTTGATGGGAAACAGCTAACTACTTTCTCACTATTACCAAGTAGACACATTTAAAACAAATATTAGGAGCACTAAACATGATTCATACCATATGTATCCCCAACAATGAACGATCGAAAGAGGAATTTTACTGATGTGAGTTAGCCAGATTTTTACATACATTTCGTAAAATAGAAATAAAAAAAAAATTTGGTGAGGCAGAGGGGACGAGACGAGACACTTTTTTTTTATTTGGCCTAGTAAATTTGTGTTTTATTTTTTTATAAAAGGTGTAAACTGAATCTTTGTAATGTATTCTGCTAATAATAATAATTTACAATTCCAACTCTTCTTAGGCTTTGGACACAATTTTGCAGATTGCCATTATTTTTATTTTACATGGAAACAATTTTTTTTTTTAAACAGCAAATTTTTTTCAATTTTTTCAAGAGGCTCAAAAATTTGATGAGGGCGGAAACAATTAATTTTATTTTGCATTATCCACTCCTCTCTTTTGCTTCTTTCACCATGAAAAGAATCAAATTAATATTTATGTATATTAACATTTTGTAATATATTTTAAAACTTTTTGATTCAACAACCAATTTGTTTTCATGAAGAACCATTATTTGTTTTTGGCGGAATACTAATGCTGTAAAGATACAATATAACACATGTTATTTTATATACCATTTTGAAGATTCACCTGACATTAATTAATTTTACTTTTCTGGCAATCCTGTCATATTGGTGTATAATTTTCTTGTATATTTCATGAATTTTTTATTTTCTCATTTGTGTCTGTATTTTATATGTATATTTCAATGAAAAATAAATGAAATGAATATTTATAGCAATTTGTGTATTGTAAAAAATGTCCTCTCTAATCATCCATCTGTCAATAGTTTTAATCATTCTTTTTATTCCTTCTAAATCAATAATTCAATCAATCAATCAATCAATCAATTATATCAATTAATATATCAAATAACCAATCAAAGTTATTCAATCAATCAATCACTGAATGCACCAATTCATAGAAATTTCAAATCAATTAAAATATCAAATAACCAATCAATCAAAAAGTGAATCTATCAATCAATCAATCAATCAATCACTGAGATTAAGAGATTCAAAACCTTAAATTATCAAAGAATTCCATATGCAACCCCTTCAAGCTATGTTATCCCCCTCCTGTAGTAAAAATCCTGGTGCTACTACCACAAAAGACTACAGGTGAAATGAATGAC